GGAAAGGTGGAAGTCCAGCTCCCTCAGTAGAAGGTCCTCTGGCACGCCATGAGCGAAATCGCTGAACCGGCTGATGCCTCTAGGCAGTAGTACATGTGTGCAGGGATGATACGTCATCTGATCAAAGGGGTGCACCCTCAGTGGTAATGGCTCTAGCTCGAGCTCTAGAGTGAACTCCACTTCAAGATCTGATGCGATGTCCTCTGCCGCCTCACCAGCCCTGGCAACCACTGGCTCCTCAACCTCGACATGGGGTTATAATGGAGGTGGAACCCCAAGAGGAGCCCTGTCATGAGGAATCTTAACAACCATCTGAAAAGTGGGTGAAAATGAAGAAAAATGAAGAAAATAGGGTAAACTTGGAAAAAGTCAACCCTAAGAGAGAGAAAATGGGAGAAAAAGTCAAAGCCCGGGAAAGTTCACAAAATTCGAGAGAAACTTGAGCAGAACAAGCCTAAAGTGGTGAAAACTAAAGAAAAATGACAAAATCAAAATTTGATAGGCTTAAAGTGTAGAGAATCAAGAGGGTTTTATGGAAAAAATTTGCGTGGGGTGTTGGAAAACATGTATAAAGCGTAAATCCAGAGAGAGGAAGCACCTAGAGAGAAGGGGTATTTTTGGATGTGTAGAAGTGAGAAAATGAAGTATGGAGTTAGATATTTAAAGACCCGCTCTGAAAAGACCTTTTTGCCCTGATTTGTGCACGGTTGGCTGGTAGGACACTATTGGTGGGCAGCCAGCCCAACTAGTGGCCAGCAGGTGGCCAGCGGTCTTCCCTTGTGGCCGGTAGGTGGTCGGTGGTCCTCACTTGTGTCCTGGTGCTGTTTTGTGCCTTTGTTTCCCGAGAAGTGTATGGGAGGTTCACTGTTGGCTCCAAATTGATTCTACGGGATCTCGAAATTGCTTTCTGGTGCGTGAATGTGCCCCACTTGCCGATATGAACAAGGTGTATCCTTTTTTAACTTGTTGCAAAGTCTTCAAGAGGTAAAATCAGAGATTGTCACCAAATATCATTTTTATTCGTTTTGTCAAATTACATGTTTGTCATTTTCTATTGAATAGAATATGCATTTTCACTGAAATGTGCATTTTTACATATACTTATGTTGCATGTGTGTCCTACATCATTCATGATTCGTACATAGAACATGCTTTCAATTTTGCATAGAATATTCTTTTGTTTCTTGCATAGACCATGCTTTCAATTAACATCATACGTAGGTTGTCTATCTTGTATGCAATATGCGTTGTCACTGTATTGATTTGTAATCTTGTTCACTTTGTGCATCTATCGCACTTGTTCACTTTGTGCATCTATCGCACTTAATCACTTTCTGCATCTATCTCACTTGTTCACTTTGTGCATCTATCGCACATGCTCATTCCTCTTTACATCTTTTGTTTGTATCTCATGACGTGTGAAGCGCGGCCCTTGGTGAGTTTTATCTCGGGACGCATGAAACGCGAACCCAAGTGATTTTTCTTCTATCTCAAGACGCGTGAAACACGGCCATGGGCGTGTTTTATCTTGAGACACATACAATGCGAGCCCGAGCAGTTTTTCTTCTATCTCAAGACGCGTGAACAGCGGCCTTGGGTGGGTTTTATCTCAGGATGCGTAAACGCGACCTTGAGCGTTTTTGTTTCTATCTTAGGACGTGTGAAGCACGACCTTGAGCGATTTTTATCTCGAGACGTGTGAAACATGACCCCAAGCAGTTTTCGTTTCTCAATTTCTCAAGATGTGTGAAATGCAACCCAAAGCTGTGTTTTCTTTCATCGTCCCATGTTTTGGCGTGGTTAGAGTGTGTTTTAGATCGTTTTTGTGTGGAACCTATGTTCATTTTAGGCTTGAAGCTACTCATTCATATGTTGTTATCTTGTTATTGCTTATTGCATATGTTATTGCTTATTGCATCATCTTGCATGATCACGAGTTTTCAAAATAGAAAGCTTCGTGAAGTGTGTGAATCCCGCTTTCAGAGTTTTCTTCATGCATATCATTTGCATCTTGCCCCAGAACTACACTGATTTAATTCCTTGCAAAGGGATATGTAGGCAGCTTGCGAGCGCAACCAATTTATTTTGTCTTGATTGTTTGCCCAAGTCTTACGCCTTGCCAAAATGGATCATCTTCGGGCTTTGACATTCACTCACGTCATTTCATGACTTCGAGTCCTATCAAAGAGGGCCAATTGTAGACACCCCATTTTTTACCACCTTTATGACTTGGACGCAACCGTTTGTGCACCCAATGATGAATGTGTATATGCTTATCAAGTGCTCGAAGTCCTCAGCAAAATGCCACATCTTTGAGCCTTCAAACCCTATACACCACTTGCCTTATTTTGGACCACAACCATAGTTCTTCAAGCCTGAAAAATCTTGGGACCTACTGGCCACTAATCTTGCCTGCCGGCCAGAATTAGTGGCCTGCCATCCACAAGTGTGTTTTGGCATATATTTATGTCAACTGTGCCAGTTGTTTCCACTGATGCTTGCACCTGCCTACACATGTATGTATGGATATTTTTGAGGAAGTTTGATGCTTTTCTATATATAGGAGACCTCCCCTTCCATTTTTGAGGGTTGAACATTTTGGAGCAAAATTCTCTCTCTCTATCTCTCTACAATTCTCTCTCTCTTGCAAATTTCTAAACTTTTGCCTATACAGTCTAAACCAAACCTTGTGGTATTGGAGCTGAGGCACTTTTGGGCTTACTTTGAGCTCTTAAGGGTGTATAAATATTGATTTGTTGCTTGGAAAGTATTATTCTCTTCAAGAGGTATAAGTCTTGGTTTACTTTTTGCATTAATTGCTATTTTGCCTACTGTTTTTGGTCTATTTATACTCTGAAATTTTGAGCTGAAACTTGTGGTTTAAGGCCAAAAATGGTGGAGGGGTGGCTCACCATTCCTTCTACCTAGCTTCCAAGGCCTTTACCCTTGTGTTTCCTACTTTGTTGTCACCTTTTTTTGAGCTTTTAAATACTAATTTTCAGAGTTTTTTCAGTGGCCAAAATGTTGTTTTGAAGTCTCAACAATGGAGGGGGTAGCATCCCCTCCTTGTGCTTGCTTACTAGCTTACATAGCTACATGTTTTAGCTTATTGTTCTAGCTATTTTTTTCTTAATTCTAGCATGTTTTAGGACTAATTTAGCATTGTTTTAGGGCTGTTTTTAGTGGTTCATTGCATTTGAGCTTTGTATTGCAGCTTGTAGTGTAATTGTCCTCATAGGCTTGGTGGTTTAGGCCTTAGCCACCAACCTATTTGAGTTGATAGTGTTTATTTCAAGCTTTCCATACTTGTGATCACCTTTAATCACCTCAGCAACCTCTCTCCTTTCTTGGCTTTTGCTTTGCTTTTTAAGTTATTTCAAGCCACTTGTTTGTTTAAGCTTAAGATATAGGCCTTGTGCTTAATGGTTTAATCCCTTTGGAGGTTCACTGCCAACAGCATGACACTTCTCTCATGCCTAAAACAGCTCTTGGTTTGGTGCTCATTTCCATTAGAGGACATCAGGCTCACCTTTAGACTTAATTTACTAAGGAATGGTTTGTAATTAAAATGGAGTATTAAAATGATGACTAAAAATGATGTAAGATAATAACTTGGTTAGGGTTCAATCGGACGTTAATTGAACCCTTGAGTCTCGAATCACTTCATACTTGTTAGTGATGTAAATGGTTCGAGAGTCAATGTCAATCACTTCCCTTGATTAGTTCATGATAGGGATGAGGTTTGGGAGTCTTTTCTATGTTGCATTTATTGAAATTGTACCCTTTGGTTCATAGGCCATCATGCAATGAAATTGCATCGATTGATGGTTTGTGAATCAACACTACTACAAATACAAATAAAGATCACAGTTTTTTTGTGTGATGTATGTTTTTTAATCACACCTTTTAAGTTTTATTAAAGTGTGGCCTTTGAGAGTGTGATTAAAAGAGATCATTTTTAATCACACTTTTTAAGTGTCATTAAAAAATGCTTCGATCACATCTTTTAAGGGTGATTAATAATATTTACATCACACCTTTTAAATGTGATTAAAAACATTTAGATCACACCTTTTAAGTGTGATTAATAACATTTAGATCACACATTTTATGTGTGATTAAAAACATTTAAATGACACCTTTTAAGTGTGATTAAAAACATATTTTAGATCACATCTTTTAAGTGTGATTAATAACTAATAAAACATGTGATAAAAAAAAAATTCGACATATTTGAAGAATAATCAATATTATTTTTGTACGTGCATTTGGAAAATGAAATACACACTATATACTATATTTTGAATCACAACCATATATTGAATGGAATAACGTCATATATTTCATAAATGAAAGTTAAATATTAAAAAGTATATACAAAGAAATTAATTAAAAGTTTTTAACTGTGATTACATATATTAAAAAAAATTTGAAAAAACTAAGTTCTTGAATTCTTTGACCACATTTTGCATCTCTCCAGAAAATTTCTGACCTGAAAAATAGAAAAACAAATTCATTTAGAAACCGTTAGAAGCATATGAATAAACTAGTTTTGTAGAGACTGTTCTTGTCTTACAAAAGACAAAATCGGACATTTTCTCATCACACTGACTCTTCATCCCCTGTATCAATAGAAAAGAAATAACGAATTTGATTATTACTAATATAAAATGTTTGTATTACTATATATAAATATGACATACATATATGGAGCATGATTGAACAATACATATAAACACATATTAGTAAATCATAGCCTTGAAAAGATTTTATCAAAAAATTATTATAGCAACACATCAACAACGAGAGTAAACTAAACTAAATCCCAACAAAAATTAAAGCTCAAATCAAGGTGGAGAAAGAAAAGCAATTAATATACCAAGTCAAGATGGGTCAACTCCAAAAGAATAAACAAATGAACAATCCCCCACAATTCCAAGTGTTGAGCAATTCCACCAAGATTTTAACAATTATGTGCTGGTGTATCTGTTTTCAAATAAGAAAAAATATAAATAGAGAGTGAATAGAAAGAGAAGAAAGAGACGAAATGATGAAAGAGAAAAGAAGAAGAAAAGAGCACAAAAGAGAACAAGTTTAAAGGAGGGAAAGCTTGGAATAGTTATATAACTACCATGACCCAAATTAGTTTTCAACTTAACCAGAATTAGCTCATGGTAATTTGTCCATACACAAAGCAAAGTCGTGAATACACTATCACTACATCACTCTTTATGCCACTGCTATTATTTTTTGATATTAAGGTTAATTGCAAAATTGGAGAAAATAAACTTATAAGATTAGTAGGTTCACTTATAAGCAGGTATCTCTAAATTGTTGGTCATAGTTTCTCTACATAGTGCAAATGGTTAAGAACAATGAGGGGACTTAAAGGGCCCAGGAAGCTCTAAGATTCCCAGCAAATAAGAACCTAAAACGTAAATAAAAACCAAAAAATAGGAGAGGGAAAAAATGTGGAATGTAATTAGTGTGACATTTTTTGTTAGGAGATAAACTACTTAAACAAATAAGTCAGCTTAGAGACCTAAAACTTATTCCATTAAGAAGAAAAAAATTATTACACTTACCTTCATGTACATGTGATCTTCACCAATATCCTGCTAAGCTTTCTTGCTTGGGACAACTTGGCCAACCATTTCTTCCTTTATAGGATTGAAATCATAGTCAAATTTCTACAATTGTGGTTTTGTTACCCAAAAAAAAAATAAAAGAACACTTGAGACTATAATAACACAAAGACACAAAATTCAAATTGAATGAAAAGAAATGAACTACCTTTTGTTTGTCAATGGTGTAACAGTCTGTTCTGTCCTTAGATAGAATACCTTCCTTAACTAGCTTGTTCATAATTTCTGAAAACCACTTAAAAAATGAAATTTTAAATTTATTCTACAGTTTAAAATGTGCAACCATGCAGGATTGGATGCCTTCTTTTACAAGTTTCAACATGTGTCAAATCGTCATTTACCTTCAATCAAAGCCTGCAACCATAAAGTTGCATACCAATATCATAACATTACAAAATTAAGAAATTGTCAGATTCAAAATAAATTGAATATAGTCAGTTGAACCAACATTGATCTTTAACACCACTTAACCAAGTAAAGGTCTTTACCAATGAGATGCTGCGAAAATTTGAGAGGACATTGATCAGTTCAATAGTCTCAAGGTGATAACAGCTGATCCAGTCCTTTACCCAATCTAATTATTGTTCAACTTCTGCTGGATCTTGAGTATCATCTGCACATTGGATATTATATTATAGATTATGATGTGCCCTCAATTTTTTCTCATACAAAACTATAATATTTCTAACAGAATTTACCTTCATCAACCATCCCACCATTTTCATTAGCCCATTGCTTATCTGTCAAAAAAACTATTTGCTATTCACAGTTCAAACTTGAAAAACTACTGAAAACAAGCAACGTGTAAACAAGCTGAACAACCAAATAGAAAGGCACATAATTACCATTTGGTGCAACTATGTATCGATCATCTTCCGGAAGGCCAATCTGAAATGAGTTGCAAATTTTGACAATTGGTTTATTATAAGCATTTCTACTGTATGGTAAATGAAGTTTATAGCATGTATTTTAGCTCATTGAGAACCAAAAACAGATGTAACGTTAACTCATCACCTCACTGTCAGATTTAGAACACTCCCTTTGTACAGAATCAGCCCCCAAGCTTACATCATCATCTTGAATGTCATCATTTTCATCCTTACAAGGATCGAGCACACTCTTAACAAACATCAACTTAAAATTTTCGAACAAGGGACCAAGTGTTCCTGCAATATTCTATCCTTAACTTGAGAGCTAATACAAAATGCTTGATGTTGACATCCCCAACCTCCATTTTCAGAGGATTTTTTGTCCATGGATTATAAGCTTCTTGTTCTGAGCTGCTTCTGAAGAATGGAGGCTCGTAATCCACAGGCTGCAAGATCAATGTGTGAGTGACTATAATTTGGGTTGCTACTTTGTTTCTTGATTTCAATTCTATACGTTCTGCAGTTGTTTATCTCTGTGTGTACGTTTATGTAGTGATTCCATTTTAAATAATATACTTCCACCTTCAAATGCCATGTGAGAAATGGAATATTTCCTATTCCCTGGAATGCTTTATACAGTCTGTTCAGAAATTAGAGAGAGGTACTCATAATAATGGCAAACATGCTTCCTGGACAACTAGCACGTGGTCATATACAGTTCTTATGACTGGTAAAAACACCTCAAATGATTCGCACCAATCATAATAAGTTTATTGTCTTGATGGCAGTTCAAGAATAACTCAATTTCCTTCCCAAGACTCCCAAAAGTTAAAATTTGATGTCATTACGGCTGAAATGATACAGCTGACTGAGAAGTAAACTCCAAGTTGGTCAATTCATACATGTTGAACATAATGACAGTAACACTAATGGTGTACAGGTTAAAAAAAAAAAAAAAAGATACAGAGGTGGTCATCCGGGGGTATGGTAAGGGGCGGCGGAATGTTCATATCTTAATACTTCATGCATAACAATACAGAAGAAATCAATATTAAGCCATAAAATACATTTTAAAAAAATATATCAATTTTACAATGTAACGAAGGAGAATTGAAATGCAAGTCTTGGATTTGTGATGGAAATTTTTTCAAACATAACAACTCAAACCTGGTGCACTAAGGATTCTCCACACAAGATAATGAAATGACCCTTCAACTCTAAAATACCCAACAATATGGCAATGTTTCACACAGGTATTTTATCAAACACAAGAAGGGCTTTTACACCATCTCCCTTTCCCAACCCTCTTCTAGCTCTCCAAACTCTGCATTCCCTTTAGAAACCCCTATCCCACCTGGTTACACTTCCCCTTCCGCCCCTTGCCACAGCCCCTCCAACCCTCTACTACCATAGATCCATTGCCTCCTTCCCTCTTATCCACAACCACAAAACTACTCTTTTTCTCTACTACAAATTTGAAATGTTTGCCCTTTCCCTCCTTACTATACCACCTCTAGCCCTCCTCCTCTCACACTACACCTCCATTACACCATTCCATCCCCATCACAGCGCCACCACGTTACTGAAAACCCTTACTCCACCATTAAACAACTACAAGAGAGAGAGAGAGAGAGAGAGAGAGAGGCCATACCTTTGTAAGGGAGAAGGGTTGGCGAGTCCACTGTGAGGGAGATTGGAAGAGGCTGAAGAGATCTTGACATTGAGCATACAATGTGGTGCTAGGGTTTTATTTGGAAAAAGTCTCAAAACGATTTGTCCTTACAAATTCAATCTTGTTTTGCCTGCTGAGAGTAATGGAAGAGAAAAAGGCACCAGTTTGGGATATATTATTATATAAAAACAATATATTTAAAAATATATACAATCACATTAATTAAAAGTGTGAATAAAAAATATACATATAATCACACTTAATTTAAAAGTGACATAAAAAATAAATATTATCATACTCAATCAAATTAAGTGTGATTAAAATATCAATCTAATTTTTTTTTTATCACACTTTCAATAAAAGTGAGATATTTTTATTTGTCAAAGTATGATTTTTAACTGTTTTTGTAGTAGTGATATAATCACACTTTAATTAGAAGGTGTGATTTAAAAATATATAAATAATCATACTTTAATTAGAATGTGTGATTAAAGAATATATATATATATATAATCACACTTATTTAAAAAGTGTGATTAGAAAGTAGTAGTGTATATATAATCACATTTTAATTAGAATGTGTGATTAAAAATATATATATAATCACACTTGTTTAAAAAGTGTGATTAAAAAGTAGTAGTGTATATATAATCACAGTTTTAATTAGAATGTGTGATTAAAAAATATATATATATAATCACACTTAATTGAAAAGTGACATAAAAAGTAAATATTATCACACTCAATCAAATTAAGTGTGATTAAAATATCAATCTAATTTTTTTTATCACACTTCCAATAAAAGTAAGATCTTTAACTATTTTTGTAATAGTGAAAACTTATCACTCCTTTGAGTTGTTTGATGATAAGGAGGGGTAAGTTGTGCAAACAACCCTTGAGAACACCTTGGTTGTACTCCCTTTGCTTTCTGTTGCAGCAGGAGGAACCAGGATTTTATGGCCGGCAGGCCACCACTTATGGCCTGTCGGCCACTTTTGTCAAATGGAGCAGTGGACTTTTAAAGTAGAACAAAGTTGGTTTTGAGGTGAAAATAGTGCAAGTGTTCTAATTGTGCAACAGAGGCTTTCTAGCAGCAGAACAATGGCTTTTTTGGGTGGAAATCCGCGCACGTGCATGAGCACTCCTCGCATTCCAAGGCTGTTTAATCTAATTACTTAGCTTAGTTATTTGTTGTAGCTAATTATTTGCAGCTAGTTAGTTTTGTCTTGTAAATATTTAGTTTGTTTTGTGTTCTAATTATTCCTAGACTAGTTATTTATTTTGTTGTTGTAATAATTAAGCTAGCATAGTTTAAATTCATTTTGTAATAGTTAGTTAATTCGTAGTAATTAGCTTAGCTAGTTAGTTTATTCAGACCCTCCTGCGTGAGGGCCCAAACTTGTAATAATGTGTATGTCTTCCAACCCTACGTTTTTCTCCCTTTTATTTACTAGCTTATGTTGGTTAGTTTGGGGCATCATGTTCTGTTTAGCATCTCCCATGCCTTGCATCCACTTGTCTTGCATGCATCAAGGCTCGGTTCATCATTCTAACTTGCACTGTTAGTTTAACTCTTTTTTTAGAACGTGCTTAGACTGCATGCTATCAAATTGATTCACATGTTATGTTAAGTAGCCGAACCAATTTAGATTGCATATCGCATGTGTTGCATTAGTCACATTGCATAGTTAGGATTACGCATTTTTCCTAACTCTTTCATCTTTTTCGCTTGGAGTACTATGTGAGCTCTTTTGTGCTTTAGCATATTGCACGAATGTGATTGTTGCCATGTCTAGCATACTTGCCCTGAGACTAATTGCTTAAATGATAAACTATTTGAATACCTGTGGATGAAGGCTAATTGCTTGAATTGGGATTGTTTGATTCATGTACATTTGAGCCCACTTTTTCAAGTGGCACATTCGCAAACTCTTTTAAAAAACAAACATGAAATCAAGTGTTCCAATTTTTGCAAGCTAGTCTATAGTTGTGTGTGTACGCATCACATAGTAATTCTAGCCTAATAATCGGAGCAAGAGCATATAATGTGAATAAGATTCACATCATGATTAGTAGAGGCCGATTTTTGATCGGGCGAGCGAGGGTGGTCAATTCATGACCTTCCCCTCTCCTATCTAAGTTCCCGAGCTGAGACAATCTTGGTGATAATGGCCACATGGCCTTTGGCACGAGTCATGGGTTTCCTAAATTTTTCAAAAATAATTAGGTGGCGACTCTGTATCTGGCAAAGCAGTCCATTTTTGGCAATTTGATTCAAAATCGATTTTTCAAAAGATTTTCCGGATTTGGACTCTTTGGTGTTTATCTATTTCACATTGCACTTGTGAGATCAAATTCAGAACCGTAGGAGTCTAATACTGTAGGTCTTATTTGTCTTCCGAAAGGGGGCACGAAAAGTCGAGCTACACCTTCACGCACTGCTTACGCAATAGGGTTTAAGCCAGCAAACTTGGTACTAACAAATTAGCTGATTCGAGCATATGACAATACTAGCCAGAATGTTATGGGCATCATTAAAATACAGATTCTCGTGGGACCATCTAAGCATGAAACTGAGTTCCACATCATGGATATGCCGGTGACCATTAATTTGTTATTGGGTAGGCCTTGGTTACATCAAACAAAAGCTCTCTCCTCCATAATGGATCAACTAGTCAAATACCTGCATGCTGGAGTGATCGCCACTTGTCTTTGGAAATTTATCTATCCATCCTCTACCCGAGGTTATAGCCCTATTATTCGAGACAGATCATGGGGAAAAAGACATTTTTCTTTCTGGATTCACTTTAGCCGAGGCTCAATTAGTCTGAATTATCATGAAAGATAAAGATGGAATGTACCTAAGTACTCAGTCAATCTACTTCATAAGCAAGTTAGGACATATTTCGGGGATGCGTCTTGAAAGGAAGTGGAAGGAAAGGTATTACTATAGCAAAGGAAGTTACCCATAATGCTCATTCCTTTGGGTTAGGGTACAGACCCACGAAAGATGTTTCGAAGAAAAAGGGAGATAAGGTGAGAGAAAGGGCCAAAGCTAAGAGGGCCTGCAAATAATACTAATTGAAGCACAAACCAATACGAGGAACCATCAATGATCATTTTGTCAAAGAAGGAGATGATTTCCCCTTATGTGGTTTTCTTTAACCATGAGGGAACCCCGAGACAAAGGAGCGTCTCCCGAATTTATGGTTTTCTTTAACCACCAATTGTCTAAAAATAAAGATGAGAAAGCAAACTTTGGAAGTGGAACGGATCGGGACGAGAGCAATTATCTGGGCAAAATGGAGGGGGACAAAGTCGAGTTGACACTGGCTGATTGTGAGGTTAACACCGAGTTATAGGGTTTTGTGAATGCCAATATTTTTGTGATTGGAGAAGGATCGTCCACAGATTGCAGTGATCTCATCTTGGATGCATCTAAGGCACCTCGTTTGACTTGGCAACTCGAGAAGGGTTGTATCAGGGAGTCTGTATCTGATAGTGAGTCCGAGTTTGACACTACCAAGCTTGTAGAGTTGAAGTTAGACTCAAGTTCTTTTGGTAGTTCTGAGTTAGTTTGTTCTGGGGTTGATAACCTAGAGGCCACTGTCTTGTCTCGGTCGTCCTTTCTGTTTTGTTTTGAGTCCACTGTATCTACTGAGCTAGACTTAATGAATGAGAATCATGGGAATTGTGCTTACTTTTCTATGCCCTTGATTTATTGCATGGACCAAAATTTTCAAAATTTTGATGAAAATGAAGAGGAAGAAATTCCTCGGGTTTTGAAATTTTTGATTAATTGGGAGGAGGAAAGGCGTGCAAAACCTTTGATGGATGAGAATGTTCCAATTAATATGGGTACTAAGAAGGATCCTCGCTTGGTCTAGATTGGTTCCATACCGTCTTCAGAGGAACGCGAGTGATTAGTCACTTTGTTAAAAGAATTTAAGATGTTTTTGTGTGGTTCTATGAAGACATGCCTAGAATCGACCCGAAGATTGTCTAGCACGAGATCCCGTTCGATCACCAGGCCAAACTTGCTAAGCAGGAGCTTCACAAAATTTGACCAACCTGGACATTGAAGATTAAAGAGGTGGTCACTAAGCACATCAATGCAGGATTCTTGATTATGTCAAAATATTCGGCGTCGTTAGCAAATATCGTACTA